AGTGCAGGTTCAGTTTTGAAGCACATGGACTAATATGCAAACTGATACACAAATAGTTAGACTGAAAAGCAAAAGGAAGAGAACATAAAAGATGACATTGTAAATAAGATATTACAATCAACTGTATGTAACTAATTGTCCATATTCTGTTACATTGTGTTACAAGTTAGTTCGGCACTGCTGTGCACGTGCACGAACTTAGCTCTCAATTACAGGATGTATAAATACAGTGTTGTACAAAGGAAACGATATGAAATGAATAATAAGTTCTCTTCCTCTAGTGATACATCTTTTTCTCTGTCTCATATCTCTATCTCTCTTCTTTCTTCAATTTCTCTTCTGATTCTTCTTCTCGATATCCGCCATGCATGGCCAGGAATAGCAGCTCCAGAGGCAATCGAGGTACTCGTGCCTCACATGGAGGGAGATTTTGAAGATGGAGAGGGCAGGATTTCCCTCCTCTAAGTAGCGGTCATCAGAATCGAGACAAAGGAGGAAAAGGCCAATGAAGATGGAGGGATGCTTGGACTAGTAATCACGTCAACTCTTCATCTCCAAATCCTATTTCAGGTGATGAACTTCGGGCTTCTGCTATGTTTTAGAAGTTAATGATTTGGTGACTGATTGTAATAACCCTAATTTTTTAGCTATATTTAAAAAAAGAAAAGTAAAAGGACTTTTATGCATAAAATGTCTAGAATTATAGTAATATATAATTATGTACTATTAGAGGGTTCTATTTGTAAACCTTAGCTCACATATAGTTGTGCGATCAATCGCCGCCTATATCTCTCTCTCTCCTCGTCGAATTCCTTCTTCAAAATAATAATAATAATAATAATAATCATCATCATCATCATCGTCGGATATGTATTGAAAGAGGATAGGTGGTGATTATTTACATAAGAGGTTTAGCTCCTTTTTCGATGAATGCTGTGCAGCCAATTTTTGTATGAGGTTATTTAGATCTTATTATATAGACGTTGACAATGCCACACTAGGTAGCTGACCTTATTCTCATGTCCATGGACAAGTCTTGAGCCTAGTGCATCCCTTGATCATCTCCTTTACAAATTTAAAAAAATAAATTAGCAAGCATGACTGTTCACATGTACCCGTATTTCTGTCATTGCATAACTTTTTTTCTTTTCTATAGCAGGAAAACTTTGAAACATCTAGTTGTAGTGCGGCGGCCCAGCGGAATCCACAAAGTTGCCGAGAGAGAAGACACACACAAAATCAAATTAAAAATAACAGCACAATCTAGTTGTATGCTTTACAAATTTTTATTCTCTTTGTTACACACACCCACTTGAGCTCTTAGTATCTTCATACATAGTATATTTGGGGTTGTGAGTTTGTAACATTGAGTTGAGCTTAATTGAGTTCTCACCTTGTTTAGAGAACAATCATTTATTGTTGAGCGTTAATTTGTGAGGTTTACTTTGTATTGCACAAGTACACCAAGAGGAGTACTGTAGAGGTGAGAGACGTGCTCGGTCCCAAGAGGAATGGTGTCGGTAGTAAAGCCTAGTGAGTGGTAGTAATTCCAAACACTTGAGGGAGACACGTGAGATGCCAACACTTGAGGTGGTATTTATGTAGCTGCATTGTGAGTATTTTTTAACGTTGATCAGTGAGCGTTGAAAACCGATATTGTGTGATGTAAGCGTTTTTCGGGTGAGCGTCGAAAACCCGGTTGTTTAGTGGATTCTCTCCGGGAGTGGGGAGTAGAGACGTAGGTCGGAAGGACCGAACTCCGTGATTATTTTCTTGTGTTTGTTTTTGGCTTTGGCGTTATTATTTGTGCTTATAATTTGTTTTATTTTATATCATCACTGTGTATTGCTTATTGTTTATATTGCCCTATCATATTTGTATCTTGTTTATGTCACCATTGTTTGTATTGCTTATCCTTGCATATATATCTAGTTGCATATTATTTTCGCTAGGATATTTGTTAATTAGTTTTAAATTGGCATTAATATCGGATTAGATTTGTATTCACCCTATTCACACCCCTCTAGGGTACTTTAAGAAGACACTACTCTAGAATTGCCTACAAAAAAGATAAAGATAAAGAATGATTGATCTCGAGTCAGTAAAAAATAAAAAAGAAGCAACAAAAGATAATGTTTTGTGAATTGTTATAGAATAATTTTATTTTTTAGCAAACTTAGGAATCTTTAGAAGGGATTTTCATTACCTATTTTTAGTGCTTTCATATGCATATGTGGATGCTTTTATCTTATAAAAGTGTACTGGAGTTAGCATTGATCTTCAGTTTATGATTTTTTCATTAAATATTTTATCATTTTAGCCCACTTTAAATCAATCATCTTGGCTCGTTGGCTTTATTATTCATCTTCCTTTTATAATGTTATTTTTTCAAGTGTTTTCACTTTCATAACACTATACTTCCTCAGGTCAAGCTCGGTTTCATGCTGATCCAAATGAAATGAAAATTTAAATTGGTTTTAGATTATATTTATCTTCTGTCAACATAAAAATTTAAACTGAGTGTAGCCTATTCAAATAAAAATCAAATAAATAAATAATTAAAGTGTAATCGAGGAATAAATTTTAGTAAGAATACTTAATCAAAGTGAGCAAAAATTATCAAAGAGTAACCGAGGAACAAATTTTAGTAAGAAAATAAACCAAAAATACCTAATCACAATATTTAACCATGTGCATAAAATCTAGTTAAGAAAAACATAACTGTTAGTAATCTATGTGTGCTATGTGAAGCTGAAGAGGAAGATCATAGGGTTAATTTTAGGAAACTCCTCTCAACTATGAGAGTTATCTCAGAAAATCCAACTGATGTGCAAACAATAGTTGATGTTTTTCAAAAGAAATCCGATCATGCAAAAGCGGGTTGATTGAAGCAAAAGAGTATTTTCAGACAGATTCTAAGATGCAACTTTGGAGAATCATATCTTTTGACTTGCTCCATATATAGAATCTTTACTATTATATGTTTTTGGAAAGCTCAAGACGTGCTTTATACATAAAACTAATTCGCAGTTCCAAATAATATTCATGTTCAAAGATATTCATCTTCAGGATCAACTGCACGTGAAGTTCTAGGTTACTTTTAGTTTTGTAGTTTTTATAGAAAGCTTTTTATGTAAGGATTTCTCTTAGCTTTAGGTAAAGGATAGTTTGATACTTTTTCATTATTTTCTACCATATATAAGGGGAAAAATTCATGTAGGGTTTTAGATTGATTATTATTAATTTCAGAAGTTTTCTATTCCTAGGATTTCTAGGGTTTGTGCAGTTTTGCTCGTATGAGAACGAGTAGCTATCTCTTTTGATTATCCTTCCGCCACATGTACTGATGCATCCTACATCATTAGTTTAGGGGGTTAAGTAAGAAAAGTTGAGGGGGATAAGTCATATTTTGGAAGTTAAGGGGGGTTATATAGAGTAAACCCAAATTTGGAGGTTTCGTAGAGTTAAAATAGTTGAGGGGATTTTTCTGAGATGATCCCCATAGTTGAGGAGGGTTTTCCACAATAAACCCAAGATCATAATCATCTTTTTATGCATTGTCGATACACCTCCTCTATTTGGAACTCAATTAAGTTTAAATTCTGAATACAAAATGCTTGCTGGAATAAACGATGTATGGTCTTGGAATACTTCTGTTGCGAAGACCAATGACAAATTGAAATGGGATGTGAATATATGCAGAGTTATCATGTGCCGTGTGGTATGAAAAAAATTTACATATTTTTCGAAAAAATAAAAAAAAAAGAAACATGTTTCGATTTTTAACAGATTTTATGTTTGTTGTTTAGATGGAATTCCTTCCAGGTACATGGAGACTTTGAGATATGTTCGCAGGAAGAAAAGGGTAGCAAATAGAGATGACGTTTCATAGAGAGGGAGCTGAAGCTAGAGGAGCAGATGCTGGAGAACAAAGAAATAGTAACGGAGTTCAGACAGGGGAAGCTGAAGCTAGGGGAGCAGGTGCTGGAGAGCAAAAGAAATGCCACTGGAGTATCTGTTTAGAGCTTTTGATGGGCGATGAATGGGCAAATTTATTTATGTATATATTTTGTCTAAAAACTTGCATGTTCTGTTGGATATGGTGGTGTGTTGACTTTAGATCTTTGGTTATGGTGGGTACATGCTGCTGGAAGCTGTTTGTAACAGACTAATGGATGGTCTGATGACTGCGCTCTTAAGGTTGGGGGTGCAGGCATGTATATGTAAATCAACCTTGCGCTTGAACGAAGGATGTTTCTTGAGGAAATCACACCCTGCTTTCTCCGAAAAAAAAAATTAAAAATTTAAAAAATCATGGAGCGAGAGACAGAGTACTTAGGAAACCTTAAGACTTACAGGGCGTTTGGGAAGGTTTATTTTTTATGAACCTTATAAGCTATGCTAGCTTTTAATGGCTTTTAGCATTTATGATATGATAAAAATGCTATAACAATTAATTGGATAGAATAGTAGTTTGTTTAGTTTATTTAGATGAGCTTGAAAGCTAGTTTTTTTAAAAGTTAAGATATATCAGTTTTTTAAAATGCGACATACAAGCTAATTTATTTGATATTTTACCAAACACGTAGAAATTAAAACAAAAGCTAGCTTAAATGCTAGGTTGACCAAAAAATAACCCGCCCCCAAACACCTAGTGAAGATCTATGTACAGGGGTCAGTGGTAATAAATTTGGTAATGATTCAAGGCAATTGTTGATTAAGAAAGGAGAGAGCAAATCATGAACAAACAATTAAGAGATGATGGATATCGTTAAAATTATGAAGTTGGTGTGGAGCTTCACTCACCAAATCCAGCGCAATTAGAGGAAGATTAGAGAACGAAAATTGCGGAGGTTACTTAGGAACGTGCCATTATTTTTGGGTGTATTGACGCTGTTGGCTTAAATTAATTACGTGTAAACTTCTAGAACAAGGTTTCTTGTCAATTAAGTGATCCCTACTTTCTATATAAGAAATATTTAACTTCTAAAGAATGGATAGATACCTCAAAACACAGTAATAATTAAATTACTCAGAAGGGAGAAATTTCTTCTCCGATCAATCACCAACATTATTCATGCTGCAGACAAGGCAAAGCTATACTACAATAATAGGCTCATCGCATTCACTCAACCAAACAAAGACATATCTCATGACCCAACATTATTTATATCATTTATAAGCCTCGACTTGATTTCCCTGCTTCCATCCATCAATTCACCCTACAAAATAATAACAAATTCAAGTAATAAATTCCAGTTACAGACAAACAAGTAATTACCTCAATTACATTAACAAATAGTGAAATTACAGACAAAACCATCTTCATCTATATCATGTTTTTTTTCAAGCAATTAACCCCATTATCTATAATCATTTATCAATCCAGTATATAGTTCTGTAATGTAGTTCATCAAATTTCAGATAGAAAAGTTTGCACTTAGACATCTTCACGTATTTGCAAATTCATAGATAAAGAAGCTTTTATTTTATTTTATTTTATTTTTATTATATTTTATTTTATTTGAGAAATACTTTTAAGTTTTCTTCTTGGAAAATTTTTGTACTTTGATAGAAATGTCTTCAAAAGATTAGAATGCAAGCTCAAAGAGTGGAACATAGGAGATTTAGAAATCTTCAGAGTTGAAAAGAAGAAAATAGAGAAAAGATAATTCTTGAATAAAAGAAATTATTCGTGTCTTTTTAATAACATTAATCTAGAATTTATGTCCAAGCGCTCACGTCTAGGCCTATGAAGAAATTAACAAACTGCGTCACATAACTAACAGTTTCAATTAATTGATCATAGAAACAGATTTTTTTTGTTGGAGCTTTTTAAATAGGGGGAGATTATTTGGGGAAAAAAATTAAAAGATGAAAATAATAAAAAAGATTTATTGTAATTTAGCCTAACAAATAAAATGGTTAATTTCACAGAACCCTGAACTTTGTCAGGTTTTGCGCTTAGCCCCCTTCAACATTTTTTTCCCCACCAAACAACTCGTTACTTTGATGTGTCCTAAAATTTAAGAATTTACTAATAGATGTTGGATTTAATCTAATAAATCTATTTGTGGGCACATATAATTAATCAATGTGTATTGCTATCCTTCAGGATAACCCACTAAAGTGATCAATTAATTTGGGTTAATGGGTATTTAAATAAGTCATGTGGTTATATGTGTAGATACCAGGTTGTAATTGCGATTTGATGAGTGGCAAATTGCAAATGTACAACATCTATAAATAAGGGGTTATAGTCCCTAATCTAGGGTTACATTCTCTAATTCTCTTCACCCCGATCTAGAGAGAAATTTGGCTAGAGAAACCCTAAGGTTAGAAGATCCAAAAACCCATCTCAAGTTTAATCTATGGATTCAGGTATAAGCTTCCGCTCTTTTCTTTTGATTCTTGTAAATCTCTTTGAATTAATCATCGCTTTATGGTTTAGATCTCAAGTTTTTATAAGATCTAACAAGTGGTATCAGAGCCACCTTGATTTGTTCTAAGAGATTAAGATTAAAATTAGGGTTTTTGATCTTAATTGCTTTTTAGATTCAGTTTTTGTTCACGGATGAACAGTAACAGCTGTTGAAATTTTTTCCGGATGAACAGTAACATATTTTTAGATTTAGTTTTTTCTTCGATTTTTCTTGGATCCGGATCAAGAAAACTGATTTTTTTTCGATTCTGGATCTGTTTTGAAATAAAATCGAGAAATTCTTTTGGATCTATTGTGTTTTGGTTGTTGATCCCGTGCTCCTCGCCGGCGAAGTGTCACTGGCGGCCTCGCCCTCGACTCCGACGGTGACGGCGGCGTTAGGAAACCCTAGGGTTTCAACCTTTTGGGTGCAGGAGCAACGACGGCGGCGGTTTCAGATTTAACCCTCTAAGGGTTCGCGCGTGAAAACGTGCGGGAATTAAGGAGGTGGTTACCTCAAATTTTGGCGAAGCTGAAAGCTTCAAACAAACTTTGCGTTCGTTCTCAAGTGAGCATCGCACTCAAATTTAACCGAACTTCGCGTTCGTTCTCAAGTGAGCATCGCGCTCGAATCAAACGAACCTCGCGTTCGTTCTAAGGTGAGCCTCGCGCTCAGTTCTAAGGTGAGCCTCGCGCTCAATTTAAACGAACTTCGTGTTCGTTCTAAGGTGAGCCTCGCTCTCAATTCTAAGGTGAGCCTCGCGCTCAATTTAAACAAACTTCGCGTTCGTTCTAAGGTGAGCCTCGCGCTCAGTTCTAAGGTGAGCCTCGCGCTCAGTTCTAAGGTGAGCCTCGCACTCAGTTCTAAGGTGAGCCTCGCGCTCAGTTCTAAGGTGAGCCTCACGCTCAGTTCTCAGGTGAGCCTCGCGCTCAATTTAAGTCAAACCTCGCGTTCGTTCTCAGGCGAGCCTCGCGCTCGATTCAAACGAACCTCGCGTTCGTTCTCAAGTTGAACCTTGCGTTCATTTTCAGTCGAACCTCGCGTTCATTTTTCAAACGAACCTCGCGTTCGTTCTCAAGTTGAACATCACGTTCATTTTCAGACGAACCTTACGTTCGTGCTTAAGTGAGTCTCGTACTCAATACAGACGAACCTCACGTTCAAAGTCAAGCGAACTTCGTGTTCACTATGGTTAAGCCTCGGCTTCTCACATTAAATTATGGGTCCACTTTGGTATACTTAATTTATTCAATTAAGTTATGGGCCCTATTTAAGCTATGGAAATTTAAATTAATTTGGTTTTTAATCAATTATTTAATATGACACTAAGGTATTAAGATTGTCTCTCACTCCAATTGATTAATTAAAATAAGAAGTTGCCAAAGTAACCTCTCTTATGTAGATTGTTCATGAGGAATGTGAGATGTTTGTGTGTATGCTTTCGTGTAAATATTTAATTGGTCCAAAGGAAGTTTAATATTTATTTAGACTGTATACACATCTGTGATGATAAGCGTGTGACAATTATAAGGTTTACATGTGAATAATGAATCGATCCAAAGATAGTTTCATTATTTGACATGAGTTATTGTCAATGTTTGATCATTGCAACAAGGTATCACTTACAAGTTAATATTACTGTCCAAAGACTTGATATTAATGTTGTGCCAGATATCTTGGATGGGATTCGTCATTATTTGAATTTTATTGATTACTAATTATGGTTATTGATGTGAGCATTTTTGTTTTATTTCAGCTAATGCATCTGCTGCAACAATTTCTGCTAACATCAACTCAATTCCCATGCTAAATGGGACAAATTTTAAGGTTTGGAAAGAGAACATATTAATTGTTCTTGGCTGCATGGATCTTGACTATGCATTAAGAACTGAACAACCCCAACCTCTCAATGCAGATAGCACTCCTGATGCAAAGAAGGAGTATGAGAAATGGGAGCGTTCAAATCGCATGAGTCTTATGATCATTAAGCGCGGCGTTCCGGAAGCCTTCAGGGGCATAGAATCCGAAGGGATTACTAAGGCTAAAGATTTCCTTGCCAAAATTAAGAAGCGTTTTGCGAAAAATGATAAGGTAGAAACAAGCACGCTCTTAGCTCGATTGATTTCAATGAAGTATAAGGGCAAAGGAAATATCAGGGAGTACATTATGGAAATGTCTCATATTGCTTCAAAGCTTAAGGCACTTAAACTCGATCTTTGTGATGAGTTATTGGTGCATCTGGTTTTGTTGTCTCTTCCTACACAATTCAATCAGTTTAAGGTCAGTTATAACTGCCAAAAGGTGAAATGGACTCTAAATGAGCTCATTTCATACTGTGTGCAAGAAGAAGACATGTTGAAGCAAGATAAGACAGAAAGTGCTCATTTGGCCTATGCCTCTAAGGATAAGGGTAAGAAAAGGAAGAATGATAATGAAGATGCTAAGGGTCCAGTTCAGAAGAAACAACATAAGGATAATCAAGGTTGTTTCTTCTGTAACAAGCCTGGACACGTAAAGATGGATTGTACAAAATATCACGCCTGGCGTGCTAATAAGGGTACGTTCCTTACTTTGGTCTGTTCTGAGATTAATTTAGCTTCAGTACCTAGAAACACTTGGTGGTTAGACTCTGGTGCTACTACTCACATAAGTGTTTCTATGTAGGGTTGCCTGAGCTCCCGAAAGCCAAGTGATGTTGAAAGACACATCTTTGTGGGCAACGGACAATCAGTAAATGTGGAAGCAATTGGGCACTTTAGGTTGTTATTAGGAACTGGTTCTTATTTGGATTTGAAAAATACTTTTGTAGTACCGTCTTTTAGATGGAATTTAATTTCTGTTTCTGTATTGGACAAATCAGGTTATTCTTGTTCATTTGGAAACAGTCAATTCAGTTTATCTTTTAATTCAAATGTTGTGGGAACCAGTTACTTGAGTACTTATGACAACCTATATTTGCTTGATACAATTGCTTCTTATAATGAATCCTTGCATGTGGAATCACGTGGTACTAAGTATAAATTAAATAAGAATAATTCGGTGACATTATGGCATAAGCGCTTGGGTCATATCTCAAAAGGTAAAGTTGAACGTCTTGTGTCTAATGGCATTTTGGATTCCCTTGATTTTTCGGACTTCGACGTATGTGTTGAATGTATCAACGGAAAACAGACCAAAGTTAAGAGATTAGGTGCCAACATATCTTCGGATGCCTTAGAATTGATACATACGGATATTTGTGGGCCATTCCCTATGGAATCCTAGAATGGTTAACAATATTTTATATCATTCATAGACGATTACTCACGTTATGGGCACCTATATCTTATTCATGAAAAATCTGAGTCTCTGGACATGTTCAAAGCCTATAAAGCTAAAGTTGAGAATAAACTCAACAGAAAAATTAAAACCGTTAGATCTGATCGTGGTGGTGAGTACTACGGTAGATATGATGGTTCAGGTAAACAACGTCTAGAAACATTTGCTAGATACATAGAGGAATGCGGTATCGTCCCACAGTACACCATGCCGGGTTCACCAAGCATGAATAGTGTAGCTGAAAGACGAAACAAGACTCTTAAGGATATGGTAAGAAGTATGATTGCTCATTCTTCTTTACCAGAGTCTCTCTGAGGAGAAGCACTAAAGACAGCAGCTTACATTCTGAATAGAGTACCAAGTAAAGAAGTTGCTAAAACACCTTATGAGCTTTGGACTGGTCGAAAGCCCAGTTTAAAGCATTTATATATTTGGGGATGTCTAGCTGAGGCAAGGCCTTACAGGCCAAATAAAAAGAAATTGGACTCCAAAGTAGTTAGCAACTACTTTATTGGGTACTCTGAACGCTTTAGGAGCTATAAGTTTTATGATCTCACACTAAGGAATATTTTTGAGACGGGAACAACAACATTCTTTGAGGATGTTGAGTTTGGAGGGAGAAATAAGGTTAGAGACATTAGTTTTGAGGAGGAATTGGCTTCAGATCCAATCCATACAGTTACTTTTGACAATATTCAGGTTACTATACCTGTTATTACTCAAGAAGTAAATCAGGAACCTCAAGATGATAATATTGAATAACTCCCTGTTCCAGAAGAACAAACTCAACAACCTCAAGAACTAGTGCCATTAAGGAGATCCACGAGAAAAAGGAAAAATGCTATTTTGGATGATTATATTGTATTTCTTTAAGAACATGAGGAAAGTAGTGGAATGTTGGAAGATGATCCAATCAACTTCTCTTAGACCATGAAAAGTTCTAACTCTCAGCAGTGGATTGATGCCATGAATGAAGAGTACAAGTCTATGCAAAGACAATAAGGTTTGGGAACTTGTCCCATTGCCAGAAGGTGCAAAACCAATTAGTTGTAAATAGATTTTTAAAACCTAGCGGGATGCAAATGGTAATGTGGAGAGGTATAAGGCACGTCTTGTGGCTAAAGGCTATACTCAAAAGGAAGGCATTGATTATACAGAGACTTTCTCTCCGGTTTCATCGAAAGACTCTTTCAGAATAATCATGGCACTTGTTGCTCATTATGATCTTGAGTTACATCAGATGGATGTTAAGACTGCATTTCTCAATGGAGACATTGATGAGATGATTTATATGGTGCAACCAGAAAACTTTGTGTCAGGAGACCCAAAGAATATGGTTTGCAAATTAAGGAAATCCATCTATGGACTCAAGCAAGCTCCTCGTCAATGGTATCATAAGTTTCAACAAATAGTTATCTCGTTCGGTTTTGAGATGAACATTGTTGATGACTGTGTATATCACAAGTTCAGTGGGAGTAAGTATATTTTTCTGGTTCTGTATGTGGATGACATCTTGCTTGCCACTAATGATATAGGCATGTTGCACGAAACCAAGAGATTTCTATCAAAGAATTTTGAGATGAAAGATCTTGGGGACGCCTCTTTTATATTAGGGATCCAGATACATCGAGATCGCTCTCGGGGTATTCTTGGATTATCACAAAAGAGTTATATCGATAAGGTACTTAAAAGGTTTGGCATGCAAGACTGCAGACCAGGAGACACCCCTGTGGCTAAAGGAGACAAATTTAGTCTCAATCAGTGCCCTAAAAGTAACCTTGAAATTTAGGAAATGCAGAAGATTCCTTATGCTTCAGCTGTAGGAAGTCTAATGTATGCTCAGGTATGTACGCGTCCGGATATTGCGTACATTGTTGGGATGTTAGGCAGATACTTAAGCAACCCTGGTATGGATCATTGGATAGCAGTCAAAAGGGTTATGAGGTATCTTCAGAAAACAAAAGATTACATGCTCACATACAGAAAATCAGAACAGCTAAAGGTCATTGGGTACTTTGATTCTGATTTTGCTGGATGCCAAGATAGCAGAAAGTCTACATCCGGCTACATTTATATGTTAGCAGGAGGAGCTATATCATTGAAAAGTGTCAAACAAACACTTGTAGCTTTCTCCACTATGGCAGCGGAATTTGTAGCTTGCTATGAGGCATCCAATCAGGGAATATGACTACGAAATTTTGTCACGGGACTGCGCATTTTGGAAAATATAGAAAGACCACTAAGGTTATATTATGATAATAAATCTACAGTAATGTATTCCAATAACAACAGGAGCTCAACTAAGTCAAAATATATTGATATTAAGTTCCTGGTTGTGAAAGAAAGGGTACAGAGTGGACAGATATCTATAGAGCACATTGGGACAAACGTGAAAGAAAGGGTACAGAGTGGACAGATATCTATAGAGCACATTGGGACAAACTCCATGATAGCTGATCATCTTACTAAGGGATTGCCACACAGGGTCTTTCATGAGCATACTGTTCATATGGGTATGGTATTATTTGAGGATATCATGATTTAGTGGGAGTTTGTAATTATGGTGCTTTATGTTTGGTTGTATTGTCTGATCAGAATAAAGTATTCAGTTAAGACACTCTGTTACATTATGTTTAGTTTTGACCTCACTAAAGTAGGACCAGTTAAAAATAGACATGTACTGATCACATTGCATGTAATTTTCATGCTGCACATCCATGATTGATCTATGTCGTTTGATTGTATTGGTATATGTGACCATTGATGGGTCGAGTCACGATAAATGTGACGAAGGCCGCTTTGATCCTATATTGATATAGTTAATGGACGAGATTGTTCGAAAATACCTTTTCAGTGATAGCAATTTTTGAGCTCATAAGGTTATACACAATTTAAGGAATCATATGGTGCCCAAGTGGGAGATTGTTGGATTTAATCTAATAAATCTATTTGTGGGCACATATGATTAATGAATGTGTATTGCTATCCTTTAGGATAACTCACTAAAGTGATCAATTAATTTGGGTTAATGGGTATTTAAATAAGTCATGGGGTTATATGTGCAGATACCAGGTTGTAATTGTGATTTGATGAGGGGCCAAATTGCAAATGTACAACATCTATAAATAAGGGGTTATGGTCTCTAATCTAGGGTTACATTCTCTAATTCTCTTCACCCCCATCTAGAGAGAAATTTGGCTAGAGAAACTCTAAGGTTAGAAGATCCAAAAACTCATCTCAAGTTTAATCTATGGATTCAGGTATAAGCTTCCGCTCTTTTCTTTTGATTCTTGTAAATCTCTTTGAATTAATCATGGCTTTATGGTTTAGATCTCAAGTTTTTATAAGATCTAACAATAGACGCCCATGACGATGGTAATGGCTTAATCTTAAAGGGTATATTTGTCTTTCCACGACATCCATTAAACCACTGAGGGAGTCTGTTGGAAAAATCTTAAAGTTTTAAGGGGATATTGTGAGATAAAATAGTTCAGGAGGAAAGCAAAACACCCGAAGTTCAAAGGTGATGTCAGAAATTATCCCCAAAATATTAGTAACGATACACGTACTTGGCGCAGTTAGTAGAGGGGCTAATCTTGTAAGGAATCGAGACTCCACACTTAGCCGGAAGCCCCCCACCCCGAAGTCGCCCGCCGCCACAGACTTAAGACACCCCGCACGCTGCACGTCGATCCGCTGTAGTCCTGCCAACGACACGACGCTCTTGATACCGCTGCCAGCACTCATTGGAGAGGCTCGCCGCGACCGCCCTGGAAATACTCACGGAGAGTTGTAGACGTCAGAGCACGAGAGGGCACTGGCTGTGTCTGGGGAAGTTAGAAGAGCCATTGCAAGCATCAAAGCTAAGATTGGAGACATGACTAATTATGAACTTGCGGATAGAGAAGAATTGAGCTGCCAATGAGAGGAAGTGAAGTGCGGGCGTGGGTGGGGGTAGTATTTATGGACGAGAGGGTAGGTGGGTGGCTCGGCTGGG